CAAGTCTCCCTCAGGGTTTTTGCTCACAAGCTATTTCTTCTTACAATTCACTGTTCTCTTCTCTCTGCTGCTACTCTCCTTTAAGACCTAGTGAATCCATCTCTGTCTGCACACCCTTCTCCAGTTACTCTAGACCTCTCAGATCCCCTTCATATAATAACAATTATGATATAATAAAACATATTGCCTACTGTGTGGCAGGCACTGTGGTATTTTTACTTTTTATTTTTTCAGCTCTGTTTTACACATAAAGAATCTGAGCTACAGAAACACACAGGAAATTTATGCAAGGTCATAGAATTTCTAAGCAAGGGAGCTGGGATTAGGACCTGAGTCTGTAAGACTTTGGAACTCAAACTCTTAACCACACCCTTCTACTGTTTCTGAGACCCTTGCTGCGGTTAAAATCCTATATCGTAGGCCTTCCCACTTTGTGACATACTTTCTGGTTGTGGCCATGTCTGTAACGATGCTGTGCTGATATGTTATTAGAGGGTAAAGACGGTCTGTTCAACCCTCCCACCAATTAAAAAAAAAAAAAAGCAGCTGCCACTGAAGTGATTCCAACTCATGGCAACCTCATGCATGCAGAGTACAACTGCTCCGTAGGGTTTTCAGAAACAAATCACTACACCTTTCTTCCCAGGTACCTCTGGGTTCAAACTGCCAACCTTTTGGTTAGTGATTGAGTACTTATGCAGTTGTACCACCCAGGGCTTTCTTCTCTTACCAATGGACACATAATAAATCTGTTCTTTTTATGAAACTGAGATCAATGAAGACCCTAAGCTCTGCAACCTCCTTTATTAGACAAGTGTGTTTCAGACGCTTTTAAGTAGCTTCCTCTCTTTCACTCTCTCTGTTACCGGCAAAAAAAAAAAAAAATATTAATCCAATTTTCTTCTCTGTCCTGGAAGGGACAACTACTTATTCAATCAGCCGAGCTGGGCTGCCTGCCAAGAGCCTGAGAATATCGTCCTCTGGAATGTGGTCTTGTTCTCCACCCTCCTGGGCATTGGTGCCATGCAGGCTGTGCTTTGCCTGAGTCAAGTCGTCAGTGGACTCTGCGGCATTTTCTGTGGCACGTGCACCCGAAAGGGACAGGTTAGTGCCTCTAGAATCCCAATTTTTTCAAGTATTTTTCCTCTTCTTGTTCTGCACTGTCTCCCTGTTCCCTGAACCCCACACTCTCAATGATATCTCCTTTAAAACAGTTTCTAAGAAACCTTTTGAAAAGTAGAAATTGATTTGCCACTTTTGCTTG